AGCAGTACAGCAGAGCCTGGAAACTGGTTGCTTGCTGCTCAGGTGAAGGCTAGGGTTTTTATGGACATTTTAACTCTGGGTTTGGGTAAGGGTTAGGTGGGCTCTTTTCATTGGCCATGGATTCATGGGCTTTCTTAGGTGAACTGGTTTGTTTGCCCTTTATTGGGGGGGGGAGGGGAAAAAATCTTGAGAGCATTTTGCTCATCAGCCCTGTAGCAGATCTACAAGACCCTGTATCTCCTCTTCAGGGTACAGGAATACAGGTTTACAACTCCTTCTCAGGGTGCAGGAATCACAGTGCTCTCCATGGGGGATGGGATACTCACATCGGACTTAAGTCTCCAGACCCAACATTTTATACCTAAATAGCTTAGTGCTAGTATAAAATGTGCTGTGTTTTTAGTTTCAAATTCCAATTGTATTCAGTTGGTATATAAGAAAGCAATTGACTTTTGTTCTGAAATCTTGTAATAAATTGCTAGTTGCAGAGGTTGTATATTTAGGGATTGCTTATCTAGGCAGTCATGTTATTTGCAAAAAAACAGTTTTATTTTTCCTCCACATCAATATGTTTTATTTCCTTCACCTAGAACTTTTTGTGGGAAGAGCAGTGGTGAGTGGCAACAGTCTTTCCTTATTCCCCGTCTTAGTGGGGAAACATCTAGCCTCTTGTGTTGAAGTATGATGCAAGTTACAGGTTTTGCTCCTTATCAAGTTGATGACTTCCTCTTCTGTTCCATGTTTGCGCAGAGTTTCATTTATCATGAATGACTGCTGGGTTTTGCCAGATTCTCTTTCTTCATCTATTCACAGCATCATATCGTTTTTCTTCTTTTGAAGAAACATTTTGCCTTTAATGTTAAAGGCAAACCTGGAAATAAGTCACACTTTGTTACGGAGCATAATTATTGGATCCAATTTGCTGGTGTTTTCTTGAGGATTTCTACATCTGTGTTTTTTTGCAGTGTGTTTCCTAAATTTGGTATTAGGGCAGTGCAAGCCTTTTGAAATGAGCTAGGAAGTATTCAGTCTGCTTCCATTTTCTGGAACAGATTGTGGAAAATTGGTCTCACACTTGATAGAATTCTCTGGTGATAGTATCTATGCTGGGGGCCTTCTGTTTTGGAAATCAATTGATTATTGATTGATTTCATTTAATAGACATAGGCTGTATTGCTTGGGATGTCACTCAGAGGTAGAGCGCTTGCCTAACATGCTCAAGGCCTGGATTCAATCCCCAACACTGCAAAAATTAAAGTATAATAAATTCATCAAGGCTAACTTAATGACTGACCAGCAACATTGAAGAAAACTTAAGACATGAGTTACATTAGTTTTCTGTAGCTGTTGTAACAAAGTCCCAGAAATGGAGTAGTTTAAAATAGCAGAAGTTTATTGCCTCATAAGTTTGAGTGCTAGAGGTGAAAAGTCAAGGTGTCCCTCTGAAAACTGTGGCTTCTGGTGGTTTGCAGACAATCCTTGGCATTCTTTTGCTTGTAGATTAATCACTCCAGTCTTTCAATTTTACATGGTATTTCCCTGTATATTTTCACATCCACCTCCTGTGGTGTTTGTCCCTGCTTTTCAATTTCCCTTTTTCTTTTCTTTTTTTTTTTTTGGCAGTACTGGGGTTCAAACTCAGGGCCTCATGCTTGCTAGGCAGGTGCTTTACCATGTGAGTTGAGCCACTCCTTCAGCCCAATATCACAAACTTTGGTAAGTTCTATGTTCATTGTCATTCAGTTAAGAAATTTTTTTCCTTCAGACTTCTTTGACCATGCTTTATTTAGACATGCATTGTTAAGTGCCAGATTTAAAAAAATTTTCCAGCTGTCTTTCTGTTATTACTGTGATCGCATTCCTATCTGAAAGCATGCATTATCTGATTTTTATTCTTTTAAATTCATTATGTATTTTGTGGTCAAGAATGTAGCTACCTTTAGTGTATTATGCCTGTGTATTTGAGAAGAATGTGTATTCTGCAATTGTTGGATGAAGTGTTCTATAAATGTCACTTAGATTCAGTTGATTGATAGTGTTGTTCAGTTCAAATATGTCCCCAACAATCTTCTGCCTGCTGCATCTGTCAGTTACTCATAGTGAGGTATTGAAACCTCCATGGGGTAATAGTGGATTTGTTTCTTTGTCCTTGGAGTTCTGTCAGCTTCTGCCTGACATATTTTGATTCTCTGTGGTAGGTGAATTCACATTAAGTGTTGTCATGTTTTCTTGGAGAATTGACCCTTTATCATCATGTAATATCCCTCTTCATTCCTGATACTTCTCCTTGCTCTGATTTTTTAAATTAATACAACTACTCCAACTTTGTTTTAATTAATGTTAGCATGGTAATCTGTCTCCATCTCTTTACTTTTACTCTGTCATTTTGCATTTAAGGGGAATTTTAGTAGACAACACCTAGTTGGGGCTTTTTTGCCCACTCTGACAGTCTCTGCTTTTTAATTGGAATATTAGACCACTTACATTTAAGGTACTTATTGGAGCTTCAATTAATATTTATCATATTGTAACTTTTTTGTTTCCTTGTTAGTCAGGTTTTTTCACTACAAGATACCCGAGGCTGGGTGCTTTTTAGTTTTATTTAGCTCACAGTTCTGCTGTTCAAGGTGTGGTGCCAGGATCAGCTCTGCCCTGTGACTGGTCACACCATGGCAGATTGTATCATGGGTCTGCATGCAAAATCCAGAAGCCACAGAGAGATTTAGCATTCAGGCTCACTCTTGTAACAATCCATTCCCCTGAGAACTAACTCAGGGTCCCATAATCCTGTCCAAGAGCAGCTACCGTGGGGACCTAAGGACTTCCCAGCAGGATCCACTTCTTAAAAGTCACGGTCATTGACACACTGGGGCCAAGTATCCAGCACAGGAGCCCTTGTATTTACTTTTTTTTCTTCTTCTCCTTTTGAATTCCTCTTTCTCTTTTTATTTTCTCTGGTTTTAGTTGAGCATTTTATATGATTTCATTTTATCTTTTCTCCTAGCATGTATTTCTTTAATCTCTACATGATCTCCCTTGAGTATGAAATATGCATTATAGTGAATCTCATTTACTTTCAAGTGACACTGTCCCCTTTATTGATAATTCTGGTCTTCTGTCCTATCCCTTATGACATTGCTATCATTTAATTGCACTTGTCCACAAACTATAGTGACCCAATACATCATTGCTATTTTATGACATGTTATCTATTATATCAACCAAGAATAAGGCAAAATATTTTGTCCTGGCTTCACTTATTCCTTCTCTAATGCTTCTTCTTTCTGGAGACCTGAATTTTATAACCTCTATCACTTTTCTTTAGGAAAAGTTTTTTAAAAACATGAGTGGGAGAGTTATAATGAGATTGTATAAAACCACTGGAGTTTTGCTTCCATTCTGGGGTCCTAGGAAGTTAGCCTTCCTCTTTCCACCTTTCAGACTCTCTGTTAGTTGTGTTTTGTGTTATTTCCAGGGTTTGTGATTATACTTAATGGAAAGAAGCAAGGAGAGATGTCCACACCATCCTCAGCAGTCCAGAAGTCCCCTCTTCCTTCTTCTTTTTATAGTTCTCTAGAACACTTTAAAATATAAGCAGAAACAACCATATTTACTGTTTCTAAAAATGCATTTTTACTACTTTATCAGGAATATGGGAGACTCAGATGTAAACTTACCCTCGTGTATTAAGATATAATGAGTTTGTTTTTTGTCTTTGATTTTTTTGCTCTTCAATCCATGCAAGTTTAGTGGTAAAGTAATTTTAAAGAAGTATTTTAAGAAAAAAATATTAAATTCTGAATATCTTTTACTTTCTAGTGACAAGCTTCTAATGTATTTTTAAGAGATTCTAGGTATTGCTTCATTTGTAAACTTCTCAGGCTTGCTATTTTCTTTTTTTGGGTGGTGGATAGAAGTGGTGATAAGAGAATCTTCTCAATAAATGAGTTGTAATAAGCAATAAGGTAGATGCTGGGAACAGTTCCAAATCCTCAGTCAGGGCCCAACGATAACAACCTATAAATTTGAAACATGGCACCAAATGGCAAAGCACATTTGAGAAACAGACTGAGTTAATCCAATTCCATTCCCTCAAGCTCTAATTTTGTGATGAGTGCAATTTGTCTTCCCCCACCCTGTTCCTACATTTAAGATGGATGGCCATTACACCTGCTTCCATAATCATCCTGACAGCAGTGTGCACCCTGGCTCCCACCCCCACCTGCATTTCTTGCCTTAACATGTGATTTCTTAGAACTAAGGCAGTGCCTGGCTCTGTCACTTAATCATGGCCAGTGCTAAGACATGGCATTGACCAATCACACACATCAGACTGATAGGAGACCCAGGTTCTTTGTTTTGGGCATAATATTCACCCCAGGCATGAAGAAGACTGATTAGTGCCATTTCTTAGGCTCCAAAAAATAGCCATGACATGTAATGCAAGAAAATCAGATATCTCAAAAAAATGTATTAAGTCCTAACAGGGAGCACCATACTTTCCAATGTTTAATATGAACACAAATATGCAGTGAGGTAGATCACTGCTTCTGTATAACGTTAAACTTTCTCAACAAGCATTTTACCATCTCAGACTTGTCTTCAGGGTCTAAATTATTCTGGTTTTTGTTTTGATAGTAAATTTTTAAAAATGTTATTTTTATGATTAATATGCAATATCATATCCAAAACAGTTAAGAACTTATTTTCTAATAAAAGAAAAATAGATGGGAATAAGTTAGGTCTATGAATTGAAATGTTCAGTGGGAAAGGGGGCGTTTGGTCAGTGTCCTTAAAGAAACAGCATCTTTGTTGGCAGAAGTACAATGTATAACTTCTTAAGTGTATTTTCTCTTCTCTCTCTCTTTCTTTCTTACACACACACACACACACACACACACACACACACACACACACATGAGTAAACCTGGAAACAGAGGGAACTATATTGGAGTGGTGGTATTAACGGCAAAGTCACCTTTCTCATACTTGTATTTCAGATGGAGCCCCACTGAGCTGGGGGGTTGGAAGAATCAATGGAACCCACACTTCCTGGGGCGCTTCTCTGCCTGGTTCTCCCACATGCACCTGTGGACTAGAGGGTGACTGCATTGCTGCTCACTATCCCTGCAACTGTGATGCTGACCGGAATGAATGGTGATTTCCCTGCACAAAAAGTAGTTTTTATTCCTTAACTAGGCATAGTTAATTAACTCCCAGACAGCTGGTGAAAAAAGTAACTAAAGTATGCTCAAGTAAATTCAAAACAGAAGTTTAGATGCAATCTGATCAATGAATTTAAAGAATAAATTTCATGACCAGAGATTTACTATTTTACCGTATAATGGGACTGTCATTCTTCTTGTTGGGAAGGCTTGGTAAGTTTCTGCTCACTAGAAGTCAGATAGCAAGCAATGCTTAAAGTGTGGTTTAGCTGATCAAAGTAGAACTCAGGAAGTACAGTGTATTCATAACACTAATTCAAAACATGAATTCCTCCAAGCCTTTGTCTTAAATAGATGTGGGCCACAGCAATACATGTAAACATAAATTCATTAGAACTATGAGAGGTCCTATAGATAAAGACTATTTCATGGAATCAGTAATTTCCTACTCGCATGCAAATTTCTTTCTAAAATGTTCTATAGATGACACCTTGGATTGACTGGCTTACAGGATTTCAAGTGATTTGCAAATTGTACTTTTAAGTTTTCTTTTAAGCAGAATTTCTCATGAGGATTGCAATGCTTCCTTTCTTAGAAATTGTTTTGAGGCCCGAGTGTGGTGACCCAGGCTGTTATCTCAGCTACTCGGGAGGTGGAGATCAGGAGGATCATAGTTCAAAGCCAACTTGGGCTAAAAGCTAGGGAGACCCCATCTCAACCAATACAGCAGGCTATGGGGGCATGTGTCTGCCATCCCACCTATGTGGGAAGTGTAGCTAGGAGTATCATGGTCCAAAATGGCAGGGGCAAAAACATGAGATGCTATTTAAAAAATAACTAAAGCATAAAAAAAAAAGACTGGGGTAGGGGTAGTGACTCAAGTGATATTCAAAACTGTGATTACAAACCTTCTGAAATTTTGTTCCAACCCTTGCAGAATGTCTTACAAATGAGAGTTGTGTGAGAGGGATGCTGGGAATTTCAACTTCTCTTTCAATTTTTTCAAATGAAATTAAATTTTGATCAGTTTGTAAAATTGGAATTTACTCATCTTACATAAAGAGTTTTGTAATTACATTTATTTGTAAAGATAAAAGATTTACAATTGTATAGTATTGATTCAAATATAGAAATAAGAACTTGAATCGTGGAATTTTAATTCAAAGTCTTTCCTTCTAAGGTGTTTAGTGAGTTTTTTTCCTAGTGGGAAGCTTATTAGAAGAGGATATTTTTCAGGAACATAAGTAAATTGAAAGCTATTTTGCTAACTCTTAACAGCACATCTATAATCATGACCAGAAACATTGGTCTGTAAGTTGCTTCTGCAGTCAACAGCTCATTTAAGACACATATGAAAAATAAGATATAAGTTAGTGCCCCAGTCAAGACATTTCTATCAACTTTCCGTAGTAATTACAGTATGCCAAAATTACTCATAAAACTAATCTATTTTAACCTATAATGGACTAGAGGAATGGCTGAAGTGGTAAAGGGCTTGCCTCACAACCACAAAGCCCTGAGTTCAAATCCTAGTACCATAAAAAAGTGCTATAATAATTAAAATATTAAAGCACTTCAAACCAATATGTGAGTAGTACTGTTCAGTAGACAATGTTCAAGAGACCTCTGCACTCTGAAATATACACGCACCCTGTAATTAATCTTCAAAAATGCATGAGTTATTTTGCTAGTTATAATGATTACAGATGTAACTGTAATGTTATTTTACTTCTAAGAATTGAATAGGACTTTGGTGTGATTATTTCAGAGTTCTTTAAAAAAAATAACAAACATAAAAGAATAAGGTGGATCAAATATATACAAATGTAAAACTAATCACAATAAATGTGAGGGACTCTTCTATCCATTCAAGTTAGGCATTAGGCTCTATCATACTAAAGTTTTTAAGCAGCTATAACTTGTTTGCAAAACATAGATCGTAAGTGCCCACTGAAGTTGAAAGTAAAAGGACAGGAAATGTTTACCATGTAAATAAAAACCAAAAAAGAGAAAGCAGGTGTAGAGTTGTATGTCAGACGAAGACAAAAGTCATCATTAGGGGTAAAGTTGTACCCTAAGTAAGCCTGAGATTAATTCATTAGAAAGATCTAACAGCCCTACACTTTTGTGTACTATCCAATTTTCTAAAATTATATGAAGAAAGAACAAGTATGCAAAGGGAAATAGAAAAATTACTCAAAACAGTGGGACTTTTTTTGGGGGAGCAGCACTGGATCTCCAGCTGCTCTACCATTTAAGTCATGCCCCCAGGCCTTTTTGCTTTAGTTATTTTTCAGATGAGATCTCATGTTTTTGCCTGGGCAGCTTTGGACCACGATCCTCTTACCTCTGTGGGATTTATAGGTATGAGCCATCGTGTCAGGCCAGTGGGAGATTTTTAACATAATGCATTTTGGAATCAATAAGTGATATTTTAATAACATAATTATAAACTTGATATTGTAGCCACAAATATAGAACATATGTTACTCAAACATGCATGGAACTTTTTGCAGATAAGTGACTCTCACAAATTCTAAAGAACTGTCATGTAGAGACTATTTACTTAAACATAATTTAATTTATAAATCAATAACAATTTTTTAAAGGTCATATATGTGCCAATTAAAAACACAAAAGTATTGGAAAAGAAGAAACAAAGTGGGTAGACATTGTCTATAGGTAACATAATTACCTACATAGAAAACCTCAAGAAATATGTTAAGAAATTATATTATAAATGAAAGTTCAGTAAGTTTGCTGCATTTATGGTCAATCAATATTGAGAAGTTACTTGAATTTCTATGACATCATAAAATAATTATGATTACAAAACCTAGTAGAAGTTATTTGCATGTTAGAAAACAAAGTTATTTAGAAAAGCAATAATGCCTTTATGAAAAATTACAAAACTTTATCAAGAGAACTAGAACATCCCAAGAAAAGGAGTGACTTACTACTGTCGCAGATAATGTGACTCTCAGAGCAGTGGTTCAGTCATGTGTACTTCTAACCGCCTGGCTGACATCTGACACTATTTGAAGACATATTTGTTGTACAAAAGGAGGGTTATTTCTCTGGTATCCAGTAAGTGGGAGTCAGGATGTGCTAACCACACTGCAAGGCACAGGATGGCTATCTTTAAAATTCGTATGAACACTAAGAGTGAAAGTATAGCAAGATGATTTTTAAGATGAAAAACAGGTGAATAGAGCAGTGCTATCAGAGACCAAGACACACTGTATTGCTGTAGTGATTCATGCAGGTTGAATTAGCTCAGATAGGCAGACAACCAATTAAATAATTTGAAAGTGAGGAAATTTTAAATGGGGAGTCATTGTGACTATAATGATTATGTTATTACTGACCTACTCCCCAAAACAATTTTTAAAGTTAAGGTGGACTCAATATTTCTACCTTTTGATTTTCTTAATAATCCCTAAGATTTATAGCTTTTACTTTGCATCAAGTTAAGTTCCCTGGTAAATAGCAGTAGCTTTTAGAAGTTTTCATACCTGCTGGAAAAGTATAATTTTCAGAGCAATAGGAACTAGTAAGCAAAAACATCTTTGGATGTTCTTTGATTGGATTTTAAGACTACTGCAAGAGATTATTGTTCCTGGAAATGCACTGTTTCCAAGTGTAGACTGTACAGGGGAGTATTCTTTATCCTGTGTGTTTGAGGCCAGAAGTGTTATAGATATCAGAGTTTGGGGGTTTAAGATATTTGCATATCCTAATAAGTTATCTCAAGGATGGGACCCAAGTGTAAACAAAATGTGTTTGTGTCTTGTCCACCTCACATGCCTGACCTAGGTGCTTTCACATGATGTTTTCAGTGCACCTGCACTTTGACTTTGACTATCATAAGAGTTTAGGTGTGAAATTTTCCACTTGTGATATCATGTCAGCATGCAAAAAGTTTGAGATTTTAGAGCACTTCCCATTTCAGATTTTCAAATTAAGGATGCTTTTCCTGTTGTATGAACATCAGAATAGCATAGGGAGAGGAGAAAGAGAGGGAAGGAGGGAGGAAGCAGGAGGAAGGGAGGGGGAGAAGGGGGCAGAGAGAAAGGGAGAGAAAGGAAGAAAGAGAGGAAGAGGGAAGTGAGAGGGAAGGAAAAGAGAGAGGGGAGAAAGGGGAAGAGAGGAGGAGAGGGGAAAGAGGGAGGGAAGAGAGGAGAGGAAGGAGAAAGAGAGGAGGGAAGAGAGAGGGAGAGGGGCAGAAGGGGAAAAGAGAGAAAGAGGAAGGAAAAAGAAAGAGCAGAAGAGAAAGAGAGGGAGGGAAGAGAGTGGGGAGAATGGGGAAGTGAGAGGGAGAGAGGAAAAGAGATAAAAAAGAAAGAAAAGGAAGGAAGGAAGGAAAGAAAGAAAAGAAGGAAGAAGGAAAGAAAAGGAAGGAAGGAAGGAAAGAGATGGAAGGAAGGAAGGGGGAAGGAAAGAGATGAATAGAGGGAGAGAAGGAGGTAGGAAAGGAAGGAAGAAAGAAATGTCCTTATTGATTAAGAAGTTTAAGAAGTTTTAGACACCTTCCCTGGGGACCTCCCAGCTCTGGGAGCTCTACTCTTTCACTTTTTTGTCTCAATAAACTCTCTTGCTTTATTCATACACACACAAAAGAAGTTTTGAGTCATCCTGGTAAGTGGCAAATCTTCAGTTCTCTATACAAACCTGCAAAGGTTTACATAGCTCAAAGAAACTGATGAAAAATGCTAGCCATCCTTCTGCTCAAACCGGGAGCTTTCCAAAACACCTGGAAGAAGAAGAAAAAAAGACTTATTGTCTGCTTTAATGCAACTGAAATGCACCTCACAGTCCCTTACACAAGCTCAGTATTTTGAGTTAAAAATAGAATGAAACTTGCAGCTTTTATGTGAAATGAGTCTTCAAAATTCAGGCATGCTTCATGAGTAGCTAATAGAATTGTACTTCCCTTATTAGACTACCTCACTAAAATGGTGGTCGCAGACGCTGAAGTAGTTGTTTTCAGATGCTTAGCACACTGATAAAGAACCCCCCAGACTTACTTCCTCGTGTCTAGCTTGCCGAACTTCAGTCCACGGCAAAGATAAATGCTGTTGAATTTTGATCACCCTGCTCTGCTCTTTGCATAAGCATGAATAACAGAGCCTGAACTAGGTAAGATAATGGAATTTTAGAAATAACCTTTACCAGTAAACATTTCACATAATCCAGAGTCTTTAATTCACATTAATTTATATCTGTTTATATGTATTACAGCTTGCTTTATTTTTTTTATAGGATGAAAATCTTAAGTAATATATGCAATTTATTTTAACTCTATCTTTTCAAATTTCCAACTTTACTACCTAAAATCTTTTATAAAGAATCACAAATCCTATTTTTTGCAAATACAAAAGAATTGCAATGATTTAATATTAGTCATTCTGATCTTTTGTCACAAATCCATTCAGAGGAAGTTTTGAGAAGTGAGTAATTTAAAGAAAACATTATTTGTTAATTCTATAGAGATATTATCTCACAATGAGCAACTGACTAGCAGTGCTTTGTTTGTAAAGCAGAACATGCATGCAGTGGAGTCCCATATAGTATCGTATTAGGCAGGTTGTAAAAAAGCTAACAAGTGCCATTATTGTGGTCAGAGAAGACATTAGTGGCAGAGCTAAAACCAGGACCCCAGGGTCGCCCAGGGTCTCCTCCAGGGCTCTTTGTATTGGGCCCAGAGACGTGGACTTATTTTCTCAGTCACTCACATGTGGTGACATCGCCACGATGATTATGGTGATGATGTAGATAACATTGAATACTCAGTGTCCAAGGGCTGTTTGTTTTTAGTGGGTGGAGACTATACTTCTCATTCTGTCCTCAATGCCTTGACACTGCATTTTATCAGTAGAAGGTGTTTGTCCACAGAATGACTGAATTCAGAATTTTACAGAAAATGTCACACACTTAGTCTGTGTAGTATTTGTTTTTATTGTAGTTATGAATCTGTAGGTTCAGTTTTACAATTTACAAAGTTACCAAGTAAAGAAACACCCAATAACAGCTGGGTACCCATGGCTCATGCCTGTAATCCTAGCTACTCAGGAGACAGAGATCAGGAGGATCTCCATTCAAAGCCAGCCCTGGCAAATAGTTCACTAGGCCCTATCTCAAAAATACCCACCACAAAATATGGCTGGTAGTGTGGCTCAAGTGGGAGAATGCCTGCCTAGCAATAACTACAAAAAGACTTAAAAACTTAAGGATACTTCTGTGAAAGGAATACTTAAAGTAATGTTCCTATTTGCAACTAATAATCATTTAAATATTATCCTGAGGCTAATTTTGGAAGCACAGTTATATGTGTAATTATCTTGAAAATGTTATCCTATGCTTCGCAATTTTCTGCCCTTTCCCTCTGTGGTCAGTGAGATCCAGCAAAAGGTTCAGAACTTGCTAAACTGCAACTGTGGGTCAAATCTGCCCACTGGCCTGTTTTTGTCTGGCCCATGAGCTAAGATGTGTTTTTACCTTTTTAAGTAGCTTAAAAGTAAAAGGAAGATATTTCAAGATGCATAAAACTTGCATGAAATTCACATTTTGGTGTCTCTACGTTTTTATTGCAACACCGTCATATCTACTGTCAATGCCTATGGCTGCTGTCACATGTCAGTGACAGAGCTGAGCAGTTGCTACAGAGCTTGCATGGTCTGAAAAGCCACATCATTTATTGTATGGTCCTTTACAGAAAAAGTGTGCCAATCCTTGATTTAGAATCTTAATACTATCTGTGCTCACAAAATACTGAAAATGTTTTTAGTATTCAGTTAAGTCCTGTAACATCATTTTCAAATTGCAAAAAAAAGACCATAGTTAATTGTGTCTGTTTTGTTAATTATAATAATTTTAAAGGTTTGGGTTGCTGTGTTTTAGGACCAGTGATACAATTGTCCTTTCTCATAAGGAGCACCTGCCAGTCACTCAGGTTGTGATGACAGACACAGGCCGACCACACTCTGAAGCCACATATACCCTGGGACCTCTGCTCTGCCAGGGGGACAGTAAGTAGTGGCAAAAAAAAAAAAAGCTTTCATTTTATAAAAACATGTTTCTAATGTTAAAAAAAGTAGCCAAAGTCCTTAGTTGGGTCACAGGAAAAAATTAATGGCAATGTTGGGGCCAAGAGAGATACCAGGACAGCATGGGATCAGTCAGCCTTCCATCACTGTGACCAAATACGTGAGATAAACAAGAGAAAAGGAAGAGCAGTTATTTTGGCTCATGGTTTCAGAGGTGTCAGTCCATACTTAGTGACTGCTATTTTGGGGCCGGTGGCAGGGAGGAACATTATGGTGGAAACATGGTGGAGAAGGGCTGCTCACCTCATGGTGGCTGGGAACAAGAACAGGGAGGAAAGGGCCAGGGTCACAATGTCCCCTTCAAGAGCACAACTCCAAGGACCAAACTTCCTTCCACTAGGCCCCACCTCCTAAAGCTCCCACCACCTCCCATAGCCCCACAAGATGGCGACCAAGCCTTCAGCAAATGTGCCTTTGGGGCACATTTGAGATCCAAACCATAACCAGCATGGATATGAAAGCATTGTCTGAACAAAATCAGTATTTCATTAGTGAAGTAAGTTCAGGGATCTGTCATCTGGGATGCTGGGACCAATTTTTCAGATTTGGGAGTATTTGCATGTATATAATGAGATACTGGGGTTTTTGTAGTGTATTATTATTGTACTGGGGGTACATTGTGACATTTACAAAAGTTCTTACAATGTATCATAGTTCGCTCCCTCCATCATCTTCTGTTTGCCTCCCGCCCCCTTCTTAGAGTGGTTTCAACAGGCCTCATTTTTCCATTTTTATGAGTACATATTATTTCCACCACATTCACCCTCTACACCGTTTCCTTATATCCTCCCCCTCCACCAGTACCAACCCCCAAACGGGACCTATTGTACCTTATCTTCCATTTTTTAAAAAAAGACATTTTTATTTGTTTAAGATAGCTAAATAGGATGTTTCATTGTGATAGTTCCACAATTGTAACCCAAATTGGTTCATATTCTCCATTTTTATCCTTTCTACCTTACTCCTCTTCTTAGGGTGATTTTGAAAGGTTTAAAAATTCTATATTCCTTCGTGTATAGAAAGTACATAACCATAATCACCATCTCTATTTCCTTCTTTTACCCTCCCCCTCCCATTAGTCCCCCCCCTTAGCATGACCTGTTTTTTATTCATGTCCTATCTTGAAGATGGAACCCAAGTCCAAACATGAAACTTAACTGATGCTTCATATATGCCTTATACACACAGCCTGAAAATGAATTTATACCATATTTCTAGTGGGCCTTGTGTTTGACAGTGACCTGTCACATGAGGTAAGTTGTGGAATTTTCCACTTGTGATATCATCAGTGTTCAAAACATTTTGGATTTTTGGATTAGGGATATTTAATCTTTATTAGTTTATAGAGAATGAGTTATGTTTAATTTATGACTTGGCTGGGTGGTTTATTGTTTTCCATGTAGAACAGTCCTTAAGTGAAGTGTTTCCTGAGTTTTTGAGGGCTTGTGCATGTTAAAATATTACCCTCTACTATTAGGACAGCGTGAGTGATATGACATTGTTAAGCCACACTTTGGAAAGACCTTTGTCCATCCTGTTCCGTCGTGATCTGGCACGGGGCACTGTGTGTTAGAGTCATCCTTTTTCCTGCAGGATTTTCATTCATGGTTGGAGTCCATGGTCAAGTTGTCCTCACCACTCAGTGCCTACTGGCCATTGTTCCAAGAATTCTTTCCTGTCTGTGAGAAGATGCATATTGCTTTGTACATGAACAGACACTAAGCTAGATTTGAAGACCTCTTTCCCTGAGAGAAGGTTTAACCATGTATCTTGTCTGCTATTATTGTGTGTTGGAGAAGTGTGAGACTAAATTTGTTTTAATTTACTTCTCTACCTCCACATGTGGAGGAAGTGTTGAGAGAGGTGTTGCAGTATGGCCCCTGGACATCCCTGCCTGTTCTTGCCAGGTGTGCCAGATGTTCTGTCATTTCCATCCCCTAATACCGAGTCTCTGAGCTACTCCTGTGGGCAACCCCGTCGGTCAAGGGGAATCCAGCATTGCCACCATTGACTGCCCACTTCCCGGGTGTGGGGACTGGCCTGCTGCCACTCAGAACACTCTGGGCATTGTCCTGGGTCTGCATCAGAGATGCATATGTACATGTGTGTCACTTCCACCTGGTTGTGATCACACACACTCAGGTCACCTGGCTCTCTGAGGTTCAGTGATGTGGGAATCAATGCTGGTATTCCCGATGTTCATGCTACCTGCTGTGTTGTGAGTGATAAAGTCTTTTGACTCCACCTCAGAGATGTGATATTTTCTTTCAGCATCCACAAAACTAAAATGGCGTGAAATCTCAGACTCTTCACAGTCTTGACAGACATGATATCCTTCAATTTCAAAAACTTATATTGGATATGTCTCAGTCTTAACCATTCTCTGATGACTTTTTCTCATAACAAAGTGCTTTTTATCTAAACATTTTGTTCTCCTTTAAAAAAAATTATGCCAGGTGCCGGTGGATCATGCCTGTAATCCTAGTTACTTGGGAGGCTGAGATCAGGAGGATCACAGTTCAAGGCCAGCCCAGGCAAATAATTCAGGAGACCCCCATTTCCAAAATAACCAGAGCAAGGTGGACTGGAGATGTGGCTCAAGCAGTAGAGCATCTGCTTTGCAAATGCAAAGCCCTGAGTTCAAACTCCAGTCCCACCAAAAAAGAAAAGAAAAGTTGCTTCATTATGCTTTGAATACAGAATACAGCTTGTATTTCATGCATCAGATTCTCTGTAGCTCGGACTTCATGCTGAAGTCTCCCTTTGCCCTCCATTCATTCTGTTTTCCCCAATTGCATTAAGCTCTGTGCTCTCCTCTGAATTTAATATGATCCACACTTTCCCCAACGTCAGTAATCTGATACTAGCTGTGTTAATTCTATTTCTAGCTATTTCTGATTTATTTATTATTTCTGATATGATCTTGTTTGGGACTGTTTTGTTTTTTCTTTTATATATCTTTTAATTTATTTTTTAAATTCTTGTCTTTTACCTGTTATCTTACCAAGACTCACTCTATGAAACTCACAGGGTTTTCTTTCCCTTGACTCCTGCTCTGTCAGACCAGCTTTGTGATGTTCATGTGCTGTAGTCCATTTTCCTGTCCTTCCTTGTTCTTATTTTCTTCATCTCATGTGTCTTCCTTCCTTTTTTCCTTCTTTCACTGTACTGGTATGCTTTTTAAACATTATGTCTATGCTTGTACCAGGCAGCTCTGTCCAAGCATTAGTTAATTTATAAGGCAGCTGAATTTTTCTTGATGGACATCCAGCTCCTCACAATCTGACACATACTTTTTGTCCCTTCTGATCTGTAATCACAGATCTAAGAGTCTGTCAGTCTATCTATTTTTTTTCCATGATGTAAGAGTTCAAGTTGGTGAGGAAGGGTCTGTTGCATTGTATCTGATGTGATAGCTGTTCTCTGTTTTGTCTTCTCTTCCAAATCTGTGACACCTGTTACAGGTGTCACACTACAACATGAACAGTGTATTCTGTACTTACATCAGGATACACCAGCATCTTAGATTGTTGACATTCTGACATCAAGCCCTGGGCTGTGGGGCCTCTTCAATAGAAGATTTTTTTCTAGATTATCTCCTCTCTGGCAATTTACATCAGCCCTTCACTTCTCCAAATGTGGATGTATTTATGAGGCTCTTCTGGATATTTCATTCATTTTCAGCTCTCAACAAGCCTTCTGAGGGGAGGTGAAGAGCAAGCACAATATTCAAAATATTTCTTTCTGAAAGATTTTCTCCATACCTTCTTCTTCCTTTCTCTTCATCTCTCTTTTTTTTTAAATAATATTAATTGATTCCTATCTCTTCCCTTGAGCAGCTGGGACTGGCAGGGCCTGCAGTGCTAGGGCCATGGAGGAATTAAGGCCTGCAGGGATAGGGAAAGGAAAGACAAGACAAGGGATACAAAGACTGGCTACTCATTAAGGAAATGAGCAAGTATGTCAATACTGAGGATTCTGGGGTCAGCTCTCTTACTGGGAATGGGTTGTACATGCGGAAAGAAAGAAGACCAAACTGAACCCGTGGTGCTAGATTGGAAATGATATATCAACATGAATGGGTTTAATATTATATAATAAGTAATAAAAGTAATCACAGAAGAATGTGTGCATGTGTGTGTGGAATGTAGCATACAAGTACACATATTTCCTAGCTCTGACTGCTGAGAAGGCCTAGAAACAATGGTGCCCCAGGAGCAGAGAGGCATAGGGATAGATCTTGGAAAACACCATTTTCTATCATTCTCTGCTAAAGCAAACTATGACAAGCCAGGTGCAGTGGTACGTGCTTTTAATCCCAGCTACTCAGGAGACAGAGGCAAGAGGATTGTGGATTTGAGTCCAGTCGAAAGTTAGCAAAACCTTATCTCAAAAACAAAATAAAAACAAAAGGGCTGGGGTTGTAGCTCAGTGGTAGAGCACTTGCCTTGCAAGCATAAGGCCTTGGGTTCCATCCCCAGTACCATAAAAGAAAAAAGGAAAAGAAATGTCAACTACTTTGGAAAAATGGTTGATTTCAGAGATGGAACAGAGAAATAAAATGAGCCTAGATCATCTTTCTGTGGCAAAAAGTTGTTTAAAAAAAAAAAACTCATCAAAGAGTAGAGACTTGTCCAAACAACTTGGGAGGACTCCCACTGGCCACGTGTGGAACATTAAGATAAGTTATAGTAATAGATTATAAACCATTAGCTTATAGTTGGAACCCAGGTGAATAGTGCTATAAATTTAAAATAGACAAAAATAAGAATAAATAAAGAGAAAGACAAGAGAAAAGCTCTTCATAACAGAGGAACACCAACCGACTAGCATAAGGAAAAATGGAACTCAGAAAGTCACCAGTGGTGCCCATTATCATAGTAATTTAATGACTGACAGAGTGGCTCAAGTGGTACAGCACATGCCTAGCAAGCATGAGGTCCTGAGCTCAAACCCCAGTGCCACCAAAAAACAAAGGAAAAAAGAGGTGATTTAACAACTATCAATAAATTGCAAAGCCAGTGGATGAAGTTATGACAGGGCCTTTAAGTCACAAAATATTTGCAAACTACAAAGAGAAAAATAGGAACTTTATGTGGGTGATATTACAGGTACCACTTTGCAAGGCAATCATAGCTAACATGACAAGTAATGGGGCTAGTCAATGCTGTGTGTCCCCTGATATGGTACACTGAGCAGAACAGAGCACCACTTCTGTGGCATTTTTGACAAAAATGCATGACATTAATCTAATGATGAATATCAGATCCAAACTGAGGAACATTCTACAAATCAGCTGAAAAATGCTACCAAAAAAGGGTCACAGTCATGAAAGACAAGAAAAGTTCCAGAATGGAGGACACTAAAGAGAAATAAGTATGATGTGTGGTCTGAAATTAGATTCTGGATTAGAAGAAGAAGAAGTGTTTTTGGTTTTTGATGAAGGGCATTGTTGGGGTTTTATTGTTGTTTGCTCATTAGTTCATTTCCAGAAAGACAGAAAGAAGAGTGAGACTTGGCTTCCAGAGTGACATGTCCAGATGTTGCCTCCAAATGCCCACTTAGATACCTCGGAGACATTTCAAATTTAACATATCCTAAATTATCGCACCTGCTTCCTCAAAATTATTCCCAGCCCAGTTCCATCAAAAATCTTGATGTTGTCTTGGACCCTGCTCTTCCTCTTACATTCCCCTTCTAACTCATCAATACATTCTGTTTGCTTCAACTTGAAAATGATTACGGACCTGTCTCTGCCACTCTTGCCACCACCCTAGTTCAAGCTGCCATGTTCCCTTCCTTGCCCACAATGCTGGGGTGATGACTGCTCCCACTTTTGCTTTGCCTTCCTCATCTTTTTTGTCAACACAGAATTCTCCTCAAAATAATCACCAAAGGATGTTGATGTCATGACTTATGGCATGAAGGCTCAGAAACCCCAGTGAAGACCAAAGTCATTAATGTGTACAGCAGTAGAAATATTCATGACTTTTCCATTTTTGTCTTTTCCTTTTGTTGTCAACAGAGTCATTCTGGAATTCAGCTTCCTTCAACACCGAGACTTCATACCTTCATTTCCCTACCTTCCACGGAGAACTTACTGCTGATGTGCATTTCTTTTTTAAGACCACTGTCTCCTCTGGCGTGTTTATGGAGAATCTGGGGATCACAGACTTCATCAGGATAGAGCTGCGGGGTAAGTTCCCCACTCTGGACAAGTCATGGGGCGCCTGTTATTTAGCAATAAAAACTAATGCAGTTTGGGCTGGAGTGGCTCAAGTGGTAGAAGGCCTGTCTAGCAAGCGTGAGGTCCTGAGTTCAAACCCCAGTACCACAAAAAAAAAACCTAACAACAAAATTTTAAGTTAATGTTATTCTTACCTTATAATTATATTTCTATATTAAATACTAGAACTCTGTGATTTTAGCTTTTTTAAAAGTTAACTTTTTTCAAAGTTAAACTGTGATGCATAAAAGTAAAATAATCCATAAAAACGTTATTCCATCCCTTGATTATAGCAGAGTACAGTCAGAACTTTAAAGCAGACTCATCAAGTTGATTTAAATCACAAATATTTGACCAGACAGATTTCTTCTTTCATTTTCTCAAAGCTTAACAAACTTACTACAGCCAAAATTTACCTTTAGTGTTTTTTTTCAATTTATTTATTTATTTTTCTTTTATTCATGTGTGCATAAAATATTTGGGTCATTTCTCCCCCCTTCCCTCTGCCCCCTCCTTTACTTTAGTGTTTTTTAAAGTTAGATGAAGTGTTGACCCTCTTTTAAGTAAAATCACTTATACATAAAAAATAAATTCTATTTGCTCTTCTAGATGTGGACAGAGCAAGTTTGAGTTAGGACTTAGCAAGACTGAATAGTAAGCTCTGAGGATAAATATGTTAAATTCACTTTCATTTTAATTTTGTTCTCCATGGTCCTTTTCCCCAACTCAGTCACATCTTTCTGCATCACTGTCATTGTCTTCTGTATGAACATGCCATGATGTGTTCCTGTGGCAACTCAAGACTACATTTTCTCCCCTGTGAATTAACCTGGGCAATGCTCTTATATAATCTTTCTAGCTACCACAGAAGTGACCTTTTCCTTTGATGTGGGTGATGGGCCTTGTGAGGTCTCCGTGCAGTCACCCACTCCCTTCAATGACAATCGGTGGCACCATGTGAGGGCAGAAAGGAACATTAAGGAAGCGTCTCTACAAGTGGACCAGCTCCCTCAAAAGGTACAACCTGCCCCTGCTGATGGCCACATCCGCCTACAGCTCAACAGCCAGCTCTTCATTGGTGAGCGCTGTTGGTTTACACTTGAACTTGGTGTAACTACAGACATAGGCCAGGAGGCAATCATAACTATGAAAGCGCTTTTAGTAACAATTGCAGACAAACTGGCCCTACGTATTGAGAAGCTAGGAACTTGCTATGGGCTTCTTATTTGAGATTTCATTTTGTGGGTATTGTTGTCACCTGTTTACAGATGAGATGATGAGCCTCAGAGAGGAGGAATGACAAACTAGTAAGAGTATCTAGACCAGAAATAACCAGTGTTCAAGCTTGAACAGTTCATATTACAGATGACTGGCATTTGTGCCTGCTACATTTTATCAACACTATTAGTGTGACAAGTATCAACTTTCATTCATTTCTTCAGTTTTGCTTATTGGTGGAGTTAGAGACATTGTCTTATAAGTGGGACAGAAATCATCCAATGTCTGCTCAAAATCAGACCATGGGGGCCAGGTCCACAGAAAGAGCAGTGTGGCATGACTGTCGGGAACCATGTTCCTTCTCATTCTACCTCATCCCTTGTTTCTCGTTTGTAGTTGGGTCTAGCTCTTTATTCCCGCAGTCCATTTATTTAAAGATTATAACCCTGGGTAACAGAAGACTTTCCTTTAGTTTGCTTGTTTATTGTTGCTTATTTGTCACAGTAAGGTAAAGTTTATAGAACAGTGGCAGAGGAATCATCGGCTTCAGAATTATCCATGGTCCCCACTATGGCTACTGAGTGGGAATGTCTGGGAGAAGGCTCAGGCATCTGCATTTTTCACAGGTGGTTCCTATGCTCCTAACATGACAGCATGACATTATTGCCTTCAGAATGCACTTACCCTTACACGAGTGTTGTAAACCTCGCTAAGTAGTTTCTTTAGCATTCCAGATTGATATAAAATGTACATGTGCATAGTATTCAGTTAATGCCTTCCACCATGTACTCAGAGATGAGCAGGTGGAGTAAGGGACCATTTGGCTAACTTGGTGTGGTTTTACACCTTTTGGTTCTCTTTCTTTGCTTCCCAGTATCCTTTCTGCTTTATTTTGAGAGCTCACCCAAGAAAGAAATTTAACTACATATACTCTTATGATTGTAAAACATTTGAAAGTTCAAGAGGTGTACCATCCTAATGTACATCATTGTTCATAAAATAATGTTGATGTAGTTTATATTTTGTGATGTTAAAGAAATATTTTTAGGGGTCTGGGGAAATAGCTTAGTAGTAGAGCACTTGTCTAACTGAATTTGATCCCCAGCATGGAAGAAGGAAGGAAGGGAGGGAGAGAGGAAGAAGAAGGAAGAAGAAAGGAAGCAAAGAAGGGAGGATGGGAGGGAGGGAAGGAAGGAAAGGTAAAAAAGAAATTTGGAATAAATACTTGCCAATTTTACTATGTTCAAAAGTTGTTTGATAATGTTTTATTCAATGCCGTTTAGGTCTCATGATATATGATAAATGTTTATATTTAAAATTTTTATATGCTCACAATGTTTGTGAAAAATTGTAGCTTTTTGCCACTCTCCATAATGTCTGAGCTTGACATGCACATTCAACCCGAAATAAAATACCAAGGAGCACATTTGTATTTCAGTGTTTCCCTTGTAGGAGGAACGGCCAGCAGGCAGAGGGGCTTCCTGGGCTGTATTCGGGCTCTGCAGCTGAACGGGATGGCCCTGGACCTGGAAGAAAGAGCCATGGTGACACCAGGAGTGCAGCCAGGGTGCACAGGACACTGCAGCAGCTATGGACACTTGTGTCACAACGGAGGGAGCTGTCAAGAGAAACACAGAGGGATCGTGTGCGACTGTGCCTTCTCTGCTTATGACGGGCCCTTCTGCTCAGATGGTGAGTGTGACAAGAAGCAGACAGTAGAGACAGGGTGGGAAATTTACAGAATTCGAGGAACACTTCTGGCAGCTGACATTATAAAGGATAAGATTGGGCAATTATTTGAAATAGAATCAGTTCTGTCCCAAATTCCTCTATGGAATTTAGAAGGGGTATGACTATTTTTGAAAGTGTAAGGTTATTAAATAGAACATCAGTCATCTCTAGACTGCTTATTTGGAGGACCTCTGTGTTACTTGTCTTCTCTTCACTGCTGATGTTCTTAAAATAATTAAGTTTCCAAAACTTAATTATTATTTTGAGCTGTTGAGGTTTTAATATCATTAAAGCATTGTCATTGCTCATCAAAATGACTTGAATGATGTAAAAACACTTTTTAAAATTGCCTTTTCACATAAAACAAACATCCTAACTAGGAAGAAAAATGCATATTTAATTAACTACGACATGTCATTAACAGGACCACCCGCTCTGCTGTAAGAGGCTTTCTCAGAGGACCATCACTAACAGGGGTATCACTTAGCTTCTGTTCAGACACAATTCATGTTTTGAGAGGAAAGAAGGGACCAATTTGAGTGTAAATCTCACTATGCTGGCTTCTCAAATATACTTACATTTGTAATACTTTTATGGAAACTCCTAGAATACTGAGTCATTAAAACTAAATTTAATAGCCTTTTAAGTGTCTCTGGGATGCTACATAGACTATGTTTAGCAGTTCAACAAGCTTTAATTGCTACAAAGAAATTGGGTGACTTTCAAAGAAATTTTGAGAATTAGGTATTTAGAAGTCATTGAAATTTTCAAACTAGTACCTTTGAAAAATCTTCTATTCATCCTCTTGACCAAGTTATAATTTATGATTTATCTGTGATAACAAATGGTACAGAGCACTCTTCATATCTGATGATCACTCTCAGGGGTGAACACTTCTTCAAGAGCACAGTGCTGATGTCTAAGTAACTCCCAGCCCACAGTGACCGAGCACAGAGTGAATGTTATTTTAAAACCCAAAAGTGTATTAGACATAGACAGTATGTTGTAAGTGAATAAGAAATGGCCCTCCATGGGCTACAGGGCAAGTGAGAGTTAACTTTCTTAATCTAAGAAGAATAATCTGCATTTTCAGTAAAATCCTTGGATTTTACAAAAATACATTGTAGTATTCCAAGACAATGATCATCTCAATATCTTCCTTTCATTTAAAAGTGTATGGATGTGTGTATGTGTATGTGTGTGTATACACTAAACACATTTTTGGAATTACCCTAATATAAAATTAAAATGTCAACCTTTCATAAAATCATATGACTGAGATTGTACTGAGAGAGCTCAGTACAATCAGACGTTACCTTACATAGTATTTTATTTCCTAGTGAACAATGTACTGGAGAGAGATATTTGGTAAAATGATAAAAGCAAGAGCACACAAGGGAGGGGTGAGGATAGGTAAGACACCTAAAAAATTAGCTAGCATTTGTTGCCCTTAACGCAGAGAAACTAAAGCAGATACCTTAAAGCAACTGAGGCCAATAGGAGAAGGGGACCAGGAACTAGAGAAAAGGTTAGATCAAGAAGAATTAACCTAGAAGGTAACACCCACGCACAGGAAATCAATGTGAGTCAATGCCCTGTATAGCTATCCTTATCTCAACCAGCAAAACCCCTTGTTCCTTCCTATTATTGCTTATACTCTCTCTACAACAAAATTAGAGATAAGGGCAAAATAGTTTCTGCTGGGTATTGAGGGGTTTGGGGGGGAGAGGGAGGAGGTGGAGTGGGTGGTAAGGGAGGAGGTGGGGACAGGGGGTAGAAATGACCCAAGCATTGTATGCACATATGAATAATAAAACAATTAAAAAAAGATATTTGGTAAAATAAAAATCTAAATTCTGATCTTTTTTATTATCAAATTATTGTTCTACTGGGGATACATTGTGACATTTACAAAAGTGAACTCACCCCCTCCATCACTCTCCTTTATCACCCCTCCCCCATTCCTGGAATATTTTCAGCAGGTCTCATTTTTCCATTTTCATACATGAGTACAGAATATTTCCACCACAGTCATCCTCCTACACCCTTTTCTTATATCTGATCTTGAAGGACAGTTGCTTCTCAAATCATGACATATGAAAGGGGACATTACCACTGCCTTTACAGAATTAGCATGGGTTTTGAGCGAATACTATGAACAACCATGTATTTAAAAATCATATAACTGAAATGAAATAAATTCCTAGAAAGACAAAAATTACAGAAATTGACTCAAAAAGAGAGAAGGGCTAGAGGGTAGAGTGCCTGCCTACCAAATGTGAAGCCATGAGTTCAAACCCCAGTACCACAAATAATAATAATAATAATGAGAAAATTTGAATAGGCCTATAACGATGAAAGGAATGTATTTTTTGTTTTAAAGCAATTGCACAAAGAGTGAAACCAGCTGGCTTCACTGGTGAATTCTATCAATTATTGAAATAAACATTCATATCAATTCTTCAATACTCTTCCAAAAAATAATAGACAAAAGAACATTTCCCAACTTATTGTGTAAGGTCATTATTTCCCTGATATCAAAGCCAAATAAAGACAGCAACAGAAAGCTGCAGCATAATATCACTTAAGTATGTAGATACATCAACCCCCTCAACAAAATAGTATCAAACTAAATTCAGTCACATGTAAAAAATGACTACATATCAAGATAGTGGGAGTTATCACAGAAAGGCAAAGTTGGATTAATAGCTGAAAGTCAATGAATAAAAAACACCTTGTCAGTGCAATAAGGGACAAAACAGATAGTTATCTCAATCAATGCAGGAAAGTCAGTTGATAAAATCCAATGACCTTCCTGATAAGAAATAACCAAGAAATTAGTCATGAAAGACAACTTCCTCAGTGTAATAAACAGCATCTATGAAGACCCACATCCCGGATCATTCTTCACTATAAAATACTGAATGCTTCATCCCTAATATTGGGAACAAGACAAGGTTGTATACTCCCCCAGCTTCTATTTAACTTTGTACTAAGGTTATAGTCAGGACATTAAGGCAAGAAAAGGAAATAAATATATTCAGCTAAGGAAGAAAGAAGTTAAACTTTCTCTATTCACAAATGACCTGATGTTTTTTAAAATAGGCTGTCCTAAGGAACTTACGTAAAAACCATCAGAACTGAAAACAAGTTCACAAGGCTGCAAGACAAAAGATCAGTACAGAAAATCAACTGTATCTCTACACACTAGCCAGGAACCACCTGAAAATAAAGTTAACAAAACAGCTTCATTTACAAGAATATCAAGAAGGACAAAATATGCAGGGATACTTTATTTATTTATTTATTTAAATTTTTATTCATTTATTCACATGTGCATACATTGTTTGGGTCATTTCTCCCCACTACTCCCCCTCGCTTCCAGGCAGAATCTGTTCTGCCCTATCTCTAATTTTTTTGAAGAGAAGACATAAGCAATAATAAGAAAGACAAAGCATTTTTGCTAGTTGACATAAGGATAGCTATACAGAGCATTACTGCCATGTACAAATGTGTTACAACCCAAGTTCATTCATCTCTACCTGACCTTTTCAATAGTCCCTGATGCCCTTCCCATAGTGACCTCTGTCAGTTTAAGGTTGCTATATTAGCTCCTCTGTAGTGGGGACATCAAACACTTTCAAGTTTTGGGTTTCCTACCTATCCCCATACCTCTTGTACGGGCTCTCCCCTTGTCATATGACCCAAGTCCAACAACATTGCTGTATTTGCCCTAGATCTAAAGTCTGCATATGAGAGAGAACATAGGATTTTTGCTCTTCTGAGCCTGGCTGAACTAGCTCAGGATGATGTTCTCCAGTTCCATCCATTTACTTGTGAAAAATAAGATTTCATTCTTCTTCATGGCTGAGTAGAATTCCATTCTGTATAAATACCACATTTTCTTAATCCATCTTGGCTGTTTCCATAACTTGACTATTATGAATAGTGCTGTACTAAACATGGGTGTCCAGGTGCCTCTGGAGTGTCACATTCTTTTGGGTATATCCCCAGGAGTGGGATTGCTGGATCATATGGCAGATCTATGTTTAGTTTCTTAAGAAGCCTCCAAATTTTTTTGCACAGTGATTGCACTAGCTTGCATTTCTACCAACAGTGTATGAGGGTTCCTTTTTCCCCACCCAATTGCCAATACCTGTTGTTAGTGGTGTTTTTGATAATGACTATTCTAACAAGGGTGAGGGGGAATCTTAGTGTAGTTTTGATTTACATTTTCTTTATGGCTAGAGATGGTGAGCATTTTTTCATGTGGCTTTTGGCCATTTGAATTTCTTTTTTTGAGAAAGTTCTGTTTAGTTCAGTTGCCCATTTCTTAATGGTTCATTGATTTTGGGAGAATTTAGTTTTTGAGTTCCCTGTATATTCTGGTTATCAGTCCTTTGATGTATAGCTAGCAAATATTTTCTCCCACTCTGTGGGTGGTCTCTTCAGTTTAAAGACCATTTCTTTTGTTGTGCAGAAGCTTTTTAGTTTTATGAAGTCCCATTTGTCCATCCTTTCTCTTAGTTGCTGGGCTGCTGGGGGTTCTATTGAAGAAGTCTTTGCCTATACCTATTAGTTCCACAGTGTTTCCTGCTATTTCCTGTACTAACATCAGAGTTTTGGGTCTGATATTAAGGTCCTTGATTCATTTTGAGTTGATACCAGCAGGGTGATAAACATGGATCTAGTTTCAGTTTTTTGCAGATGGATAACCACTTTTCCCAACAACATTTGTTGAAGAGGCTGTCTTTTCTCCATTGTATATTTTTGGCACCTGTGTCAAAAATATGCTGGGCATAGTTGTGTGGATTCATATCCAGGACCTCTATTCTGTTCTACTGGTCTTCATGTCTGTTTTTGTGCCTGTACCATGATGTTTTTATTGCTATTGCTTTGTAATGTAGTTTGAAGTTGGGTATTGTGATACCTCCAGCATTGTTGTTTTTGCTGAGTATTGCCTTGGCTATTTGCAGTCTCTTGTGTTTCCAAATGAACTTTAAGGTAGATTTTTCAATCTCTGTGATGAATGTCATTGGGATTTTGATGGGAATTGCATTAAACATGTAGATTGCTTTTACTGTGTTAATTCTACCTATCCATGAGCACAGGAGATCTTTCCATCTTCTGTAGTCTTCCTCAATCTCTTTCTGAAATTCAGGGGTTTGTAATTCTCCTTGTAGAGGTCATTCACATCCTTTGTTAAATTTACTCCTAGGTATTTGATTTTTTTAAGGCTATTGCAAATGGAATTGTTTCCATATATTCCTTCTCAGTTTGTTCATTGTTGGTGTATAGAAAAGCTAATGATTTTTGTAAGTTGATTTTGTATCCTGCCACCTTGCTTTAGCTGTTGATGGTGTCTCGGAGTTTTTGGGTAGAGTTTTTTGGGTCTTTAAAGTAAAGAATCATATCATCTGCAAATAGGGATATTTTGACAGTTTCTTTACCTATTTGTATTCCTTTTATTTCTTCTTCTTGCCTAATTGCTCTGGCTAGGAATTCCAGTACTATGTTGAATAGGAATGGGGATAGTGGGCACCCTTGTCTCATTCCTGATTTTAGGGGAAATGGTTTCAGTTTTGCATCATTAAGTATGATGTTGGCTGTAGGTTTATCATATATAGCCTTTATAATGTTGAGGTACTTTCCTTCTATTCCTAGCTTTCTTAGAGCTTTTATCATGAAATGGTGTTGGATCTTGTTGAAGGTTTTTTCTGCATCTATTGAGATGATCAAGTGGTTTTTGTCTTTGCTTCTATTAATGTGCTGTATTACATTTACAGATTTACATATGTTGAGCCACCCCTGCTTCCCTGGGATGAAGCCAACTTGGTCATGGTGAATGATATTTCTGATGTGTTTTTGGATTCAGTTTGCCATTATTTTATTGAGGATTTTTGCATCAGTGTTCATTAAGGAGATGTTCATTAAGGAGATTGGTCTCCTTTTTATAGGTGTCTTTTTCTGGTTTAACAAAAGACATGGAAGCCAAAAATCAATGAACCAATAAAGAAGTGGGCAACTGAACTAAACAGAACTTTTTCAAAGGAAGAAGTCCAAATGGCTAAAAAACACAGGAAGAAATGCTCACCATCCCTTGGTCATAAAGGAAATGCAAATCAAAACCACACTAAGATCCACCTCATTCTAACAAATGTTGATGAGGACACAGGGAAAAAGGAAACCTCATACACTGCTGATGGAAAACAGTAGGGAGGCTTCTTTAAAAAAACTAAACATAGCTCTGCCATATAATCAAGCAATACCACTCCTAGGGATATACCCAAAGGAATGCAACTCAGGTTACTCCAGAGGCACCTGCACACCCATGTTTATTGCAGCACTATTCACAATAGCCAAGTTATGGAAACAGCCAAGATGCCCCACTACTAATGAATGGATTAAGAAAATGTGGTATTTATACACAATGGAATTTTACTCAGCTACAAAGAAAAATGAAATTTTGTCATTTGCAAGTAAATAGATGGAACTGGGGAACATCATCTTAAGCAAAGTCAGCCAGGCTCAGAGGATCAAAAACTTACATGTTCTTCCTCATATGCAGATTATAGACCCAAAACAAATGCAGTAATATTATTGGACATGGGTCACACACTAAGGGGAGAATGCACACGGGAGGAATAGGGAAAGGGAAGGAAACCTAAAACTTTAATGTAGTTGAAGTGCCCACTGTAGAGGAGCAAATAAAGTAATCTTAAACTGTCAGAGACCACTATGGGAAGGGGACCAGAAAGTATAGAGATGAACTAATGTGGGTTGCAATACACATATGCATGGAAGCAATGCTAGGAATCTCTCTAGGTTATCTCAAAGTAGCAAAAATGCTATGTCTTTCTTATTAAAAAAAAAAGAAAAAATGCAAGAATTATCCTGGAAAGTATAAAACATTGAAAGAAAACAAAGATAAATAAACAGAAAGCTATGCCAAGACATGGGTTGTAATAATGTAAATAAGATGCCAGTATATCCTAAGTTGATCTGCAGATTCAATATGATCTGTCAAAATCCCAGCTGGATTCTTTCCTGAAACTGACAGGCTGAATTTTTAAAAATTCATATGGAAATTCAGGGTATCCAGAATAGCCCAAATAATCATGAAAAGGAACAAATTTGGCTCATTCACACTTCCTGATGTCAAAACTTGCTATGAAGCTATAAGTAACACCGTGATATGGCCTAACAGAAGACATGTAGATCAGTGGGGCGGCATTGAAATTCCAGATATACATACAGACCCTTATAATTAAAGTCAATGAGTTTGACAAGTGCCATGACAATACAGTTGAGGAAAGAGTAGCCTCTGAGACTACCAGACGCATGCACACACAAAAGAGTGAAACTGGACCACTACTCCACAAATGCAAAAAAAATGTACCTTAAATGCATTATAGACCTTGTGTAAGAGCTAAAACTCTATAACTCTTAAACCATGGGAATAAGAAAAACTAGATGAGTTGGACTTCATCAAAATGATAAAAAGAACTTTCATAATTCAAAAAGCTCCATGAAGAAAGTGAAAAGATGATCCAAATAGTGAAAGAAAATGCTTGCAAACCATTTATCATATAAGGGTCTAGTATCCAAAATCCAAATTATATCAAGAACTCTTACAGCTTAATTTAAAAAAGACAAATAACCCAATTAAATAATGGAGAAGGCAAATAAGTGGATTTTCTTCACCAAATCTGTGCAAATGGTCAATAAACACATGAGAAAAAGTGGGGTAGCATAATTTAGAAATGTAAATTAAAACCACCAGGAGACATAACTTTACAGTCACTAGGATACCTATTATGCACATGTGTGCATTAAATTGACACCATAAGTATATATATTTATGAAGTACAGTATGATATTTTAAGACATAGATACACTGTGTAGAATCATGTCTGTAAGTGGCACATCTGTCATTACAGACATACATCATTTCTTTGTATTGGAAACATTTAAAATCTTCCCTACCAGCTGATTTGAAATACTCAATTAATTATTGTCACTCATAATTTTGTAGAATCACTGTAATTTATGAGAAAAAAATCTTGGTGAAGATGTAGAGATACTGAAACTCATAAATTGCTCTTGGGAATATAAAACAATGCAGCTGTTTTGGAGGAAAAAAATGGCATGGATTGGGGATGTAGCTCAGTGGTAGAACTTTCACTTTGCATGCACAAGATCCTGTGTTTGAATCCCAGCACTGAAAAAAATTGATAGTTCCTCAAAATGTTAAAGATGAAGTTATCCTAAGACTAAGCAATTCTACTTCTGGGGTTATATAAAGTGAAAATATGGTGTCCATACAAAAACTTATACATGTGTCTTCATAGCATTATTCACAAAAGTCAGAAAGCAGAAACAGCCCAAACGTTCAGCAGTTAAAAAGATCAGTGAAATGTGTCACATTCATACAATAAAATAGTCAACAATAAAAAGGAATGTTATATTTATAAGTTTCACAACTTGTGTGGACCTTGTAAGTATGCTAAATGAAAGAAGCCAATCACAAAAGACTACACACTATACAACTCCACTAAAATGAAACCTCCAGAAGAGGACTGAGAGTAGATTGGCAGTTGCCCAGGCTTGGTTGTTGGATACAAACAGAGAGTGGCCTCCACCTGGGCATGGACCTGGGGGAGGGGAAGACAGGGATAATGAAAGTGCTCCAGAGTTGACCGTGGTAGTGGTTACCAGGTCTGGCAATACCCTAAGACATGGAATTTTATGCTTTAATTGGGTCTATTTCATGGCATATGGATTATATCTTAATAAGAATGTTTTGAAAAATTAGCCTCTTAGAGAAAAGTTGGAACCCTAAGCTGAGGGCAGGTGTCTTTAAAGTAGTATAGATTTTAACTGAACAACTAGTATGTAAGTCTAAGATGAAAATCCTTTAGAGAATTTCATGAAATCTCTAGATGTTATTCACTTCTGGGTTTTGCGTATGTCAGGGTCTGCCACCTTTCTCTCTCTCTCTCTTTTTTTTTTTTTCCAACTTTACTTTTTTAAAAAACTTAAAAAGTGAAAAATCAGAACAAGGAAATATTTCACTATATCTCCCAGGATATTCAAAGACTAGATCCATTCTTGAAATATTCCTAAAGTAAGACTTTGTACTTCTATTTTGTTTTCTTTTAGAGATTTCTGCCTATTTTGAGACTGGCTCTTCAGTGACCTATAATATTCAAGAACATTACACCTTGAGCAAAAACACCAGCTCCTCCGGTCCTTCTTCACGGAGGGGTGTGACACTGTCCAGGGAGACCATCACGCTGAGCTTCCGGACCACACAGACTCCAAGCTTATTGCTTTATGTGAGCTCTTTCTATGAGGAATACCTTTCCGTTATCCTGGCCAACAATGGTGAATATCTTTCATGACAAAAAAGAAAACATGCAAAAACACTGAATTAGAAAAGCAGGACTGTAATGACATGGGTCTTTCTTACAAGGAAGAAAATCACATACCTTTCAATGTCTTTGATTTTTCAGTCCCATCCATAACAGTTATCAGTATTTCAAGATTAAGTTAAGATGCTTTTCCCTACGACAAGCTTTATAATTTTATAGATTTGACATGAAATTACACTTATTGATAGGGTGTCTTTAATACTACGCAATGTTGTAAATCTGTTTTACAGGTCATTGTGAAATAAGATATCTGGATATTTGGTCCATCCCCTGCTCATTCTAGGTTAGGTAGAGGAACATTACCTGGATGGCACAATAAAACTAAATAAAAGCCAATTTCCAACACCAACTGATAACCACAGCTGTTCTTTCTCTCCTCAGTAGTTAAGAAACTAATTAGATTCTAGCCACATAAGAAGACAAGTGAAGTGACCGTCCCTCAAACAATGGCATGTGGGCAGTCCCAGGCTTTCACAGTTGGACAACAGGCCAGACTTTAAGTCTGCTAAGTAGAGAGTCAGGACAAAAATTTAATTTATGGAAAATCCTATCAAATCAGGATTTTAGAATAAGCTGTAGTAGTAGTGGGTAGTTCGGGGGTGTCTATGTAGGTGAGTAGTGTGTGTTAGGCTGGGCTGTGGTTCCACATGGAGCACCTGCCTAGCAAGTGCAAGGCCAGGACTGCCAAAAACAAGGCTTATTAAAGTTGTTATAAGTGTAGAAACATAGCGTTTTATCATTTCATAAAATATCCTAGTCGTAATTTAGATCTGAGTCTTCATATGCGTAACTTAAGCCTTTTCATTTGAGAAACTGCTTATTAGCAACACATTTAATCTTGACTTTTAAAAGTAGTGTAACTGGACTCAGGGTTTGGCACAGGGATAGTCACTGTTCCAGAAGAGGTGACTGTTGGGTACATCCAAGTTGGTGTACTAAACAGATTCAAAAATGAATTCAGCAAGTAAGAGTGAATGTGCTCTAGAATCTACATTGAGCCTTTTGCAGAATACCATTCTGATCTTCAATGTCACTCACTTTCCTCTTCAGGAAGTTTGCAGGTTAGGTACAAGCTAAACAGACACCAGCATCCAGATGCTTTTAACTTTGACTTTCAAAACCTGGCTGATGGGCGCCTTCATCAGCTGAAGATGAACCGGGAAGAGGCCGTGGTCTTTGCAGAGGTAATGTGGGAACTCCAAGTCTAACAATGAGTAATCCGATGCAACAATTTGGCAATCAGTTTTAACAAAAGAGCAACCTACTTGGTGTTGTGTTCCACAGATCAAGAATGAAAAGCCAAATCTAACCAGGGTTGAGGGAGGGGAAGTTGGTATTTGCTTTCTTTAACAATGATTCTGTCAAGACCATGGTTACTCTTTGGCCTTTTACAATGACAAGGTGTCATTCATTAAACTTTATTCAGTAGGGACATGTCTAGTTTTACATGGTGACTACTGGTGGAATTAGTTAATATTTCAGCAGGAACCTGTCCTCGTGATTATTTAAAAACAGATACTACATCTACTGAAACACAAGGTTAAGAAAGCAAAAAGAATCTCACTGAAATGGAAATAAACAAAATAGACCTGAGTCAGAAGAGAATGAGTGAATAGCCACTGGCATTTGGAGGAGAATATATTGTCTACGGCCATAGCACCCTGACCATGCCCGATCTCATCTGAAGAAGAGCATGGTTTAAGCCTGAACATAGCACTCCATGTTTTGGCTATATGTGACAATTCTCTCCCAGAGAATATGTTTTTTAAGTTTAAAACACCTGATTCCATCTTTTTGTGGAGTCTGCCAATTACAGACATCTTATGAAAAAGAGGGAGGGTGCTGATGGCTTTCACAAGTTGTTTATAAGTCAGCCTTCCATTCTAAATGTCATTTGAAGGTGATTTATTAAAGCTTTGTCATAGCATTTACAAGTCATTCATTTTTGTCATTCTTTTCCTGGCTTTTCTGTTTCCTTATCATTAAAATTTCACCTCTTTCTGATGTTTGCTCCCCATGGGACACTTTGCAGGTTAACCAGAGTGCAAAGAAACAAGTTATCTTGTCCTCAGGGACAGAATTCAACGCTGTCAAGTCTCTCATATTGGGGAAGGTTTTAGGTAGAGCATTTCTTTCAAAAAAATCAGATTGCAAGCATCGTGTCACAAACTCTGGAAGTGCTCATTATGCTGAGAGAGGCTCCTTGTTTTATTTTAATATTAACTCCACAGTGAGTGACAATCTAAGTACAAATTGTACTTTTGTCTGAGTACTCATGCAATCATGAGCAGAGCTGTCTGGGAGATGAGCACAGGTTCCCCTTGAAAACTCCTGGCCCGTACCTTCTCACTCAGCAATCATCCATCACCAGTCATGGGCTCTTCCTAACACTTCTTGGTAAGTGAACTGTCATCAAAGCAGGCACACAGTTTCAACATCAACTCCAGGGACTTCCGTTCAGTGATAAAACTACCTTTTGTTGATGAGGAAATGTTAATTTCTTCAACAGAGGAATACAGCTTGAACTCTGCCCATGCCCTGCCCTGCATGGCCTGATACTTCTGTCTTCAGTGATTCCCAACAGGAGAGACAATGCACATCACCAATATCTGTCACACAGCTAGAAACAGGTAGTATTGGTCTATGAAACTGCAAAAAAAAAAAAAAAAAAAGCATTCTTCAAAGCACAGCTTAATATCATAGTAACCAAGGAGAGTAATCTTTCTGTAAAGATGAAGAGGATCAGAAATTAGAACAATAGTATTCATTACATAAATTCTTGTTGCCTTCCAAGTAAATAAGTACATGGAGTGAAAGATGTTAATGTTTTATTGAAGGACAGTATATTCAAAGACACGAAACTTAGGGTATAAAAATTTAAAGAAATAGGCATGGTAGCACACATCTGTAATACCAGCACTTGGGAGGTTAAGGCAGGAGGATCTTGAGTTTGAGACCAGCCTAGACTACATAGAAAGACTGTGTCTCAAAAACAAAACAAAAGAATTTAAGTTGAAATTGAGCAGTGAAGTATCTAGTCTGAAGCAGCTGGCCTCAGAGAATTACAAATATTCATTTTACCAGGGGTAGATAAAACAGAGATTAATAAAACATTTCATATTTTGGACATCTATATTTTAGGATGGGTTCTGCTGTAAGTCTTTATCTACTTTCAGATTATTTACTCTTTATACCAAGTCCATAATTTCATATTCAAATTTAGAGTTATACAGAAAGTATTTTTATTCTTTTAACAGTAACACAGACCACCAAGTTGGGAATAGAGAAGCCACTAATTTTCCAAAGAAAGTTATTCAAAGTGTGCAGCGCTACATCATCAACATTCATTCTCATAGTGCTGTGTGTCGTTGACTTATCCATTAGTTGAAAAATATTTGGTGAGCATTTGCTCTGGAAGCACTCATTATGCTGAGAGAAGCTCCTCATCTTATTTTAATACTAACTCCATAGTGACTGACAATCAGGATACACATTGTCACCAAGGAAGTATAGAGATAAGAGTGACCCTACACTCAGCCTCATAAACTTGGAGATTAACTGTGAACATGGGCTAGTGTGTGAGCAAGTGCCATAAAACTACACCCACGGTCAATCTAATTTATTATTACTTAATATGCTGTGATTTTCTTGCCATGTCCAACAGTCTAACTTAATGAAGACAATTCAGGTTGATTTTCTCAAGGTCAATTCAGTGTAAACATGCTGAAATGTAAACTCTAGATTTTAGATGTTCTTTACATTTTATCAGAGATGTAGTCAAAGAATGTGAAAACTTAAAATACTTCAGTCCAGTCAGGCTGACCTATTATTTTTGTTAGGCTTTTTTTTCTCCAGTGACTTTGGTATTTTATTCTTTTGATTTTGCTTCTTGTGTGTTTTTAAACCACAAACTTAAAAAAAAAAGGAATCAGAACAGAGAGTATAGAAGCTGAAGATATATCTCTGTGCTTTCTCCCAGAAGATATCCACAGTTTGTAAAGACTCACACTTCAATACGATTACACTTCTATGAGAATGCCAACTAATTTTGATAACTAAATATTTCTGGAAATAGTCTTTTGAGTTGTATAAGATGTCACATAAGACATGTGGCTTTCACATTTTAAACTCAATCTATGTATTTTTCATTAGTTTTATGAAATGGTATTTTGCTTCATTTAGAATGGACGTTATATATTGAGTCTGGGGTTCAATTTTACATTACACATAAGCTAAATCAGCCTGTAATTAATTGACTTATTGATGCTGGCAGATGACATAAGACTCCTGGCTCAGAGACAAAGGACTGACTGTGAGTCCTTTGAGCACTTGCCATTTGCATTATTTCTCCCAAGTCCTTAAGTTTTGTGGTTCATGGTGGGGCTCAGATGACTACTGCACCTGTGTCAGAGGAACACGGAGCTTGGGGAATGCACAGACTCTGTATGCAGTGAGCCAGTTTAGTCTTTTTCCCAGAGGGAAAGATGGCATCACCCCTCAAGATGGCTGGCTTCAAACACAGACTTGAGAAATGGCCTGGGTAGAGTGCTGACGGGGCTCACAGATCTTGTTTTACCCAGCAAGAACACAAAAGAGTTATCCACAGCCCACAGGCAGCTCACTTCTCTCAATATTGCTGAGCAAAAACACATAAAAAATAACAGATTTTACATTTTTCCAAGAAAGATCAAAGACTAATTATATGTTAATCCCTCTGTATCTCATCTGTAAAATCAAGAGGGTAGACTAAATAATTGCTAAGGTTTTCTTCAGTGGAAAACTGAGGTTTTCTAATTTAACTTTTTCACTGGGAGTCGGTATGGATCACAGATGTTGGGAAGTGTCTGAAATTGTAAGCCATCGAGACTGAAGCTATCCAATAGACCTTTCTGTGGTGATGAAGATGTCTTCTTTCTCTGCTCTCCTACATAGTCCTGAGCCACATCTGGTTTTCACACACTTGAAACGTGGCTATTGCAGCTGAGGGACTGAGTTTTTAATTTTATTTAATTTGCATATTTGAACCACATGTGGCTAGTGTCTTCCATATTATAAAATGTCAAAAGCTGTCAATCTACTTATGCATTTTTTTCATTTTCAACCAACTGGCACCCTATTGTGAAGTCAAGACACTGTCAGTTTGGCATGACAGTGGACTAGGAAGGCAGCCCTCTTTCAAATATTTTTTCTACCTTCTCAAGTGCTAATATTTCAAATTCTAGAACAGATGTAGGGATCCATTGCTTTGATACAATGTCTTTCCTTCCCCTAGGAGTGTTCTAAGAAACCAAACCAGGTATTTGTGCGAAAGTAAATTTACTCAAGAGTAGGCTTTAGCCATATGCTAGTGACTCACACCTGTAATCTTAGCTACTCAGGAGGCACAGATCAGGAGGATTGAGGTTAGAGGCCAGCTCAGGGAACTAGTTCATGAGATCCTATCTCAAAAATGCCCAACACAGAAAAGGACTGGTGGAGAGGCTCAAGTGGTAGAGCACCTGCCTAGCAAGCATGAAGCCCTGAGTTCAAAGCCCAGTGCACAAAATTAATTAATTAATTAATGAGTAGGCTTTGATGGAGGAGAGAATCAGAAGGCATCCAGGTACAAGACCAGTGGGGTGAAGAAAACATGGAACGAGGAGTCCAGATGGGTCCACATTGTAAATTAAAAGAGCGAAACTGAAAGGTTTGAGCATTATCACCTTGTCACGGAACTAGGGAGGTCCTGTGCATGTGTCACTACAGTGAGACATGATTTTTCCAAATACTTTTCTAAATATTTTTTCTGTTGAGAAATAGTTGCTATCAGTGCTGGCTTAAAGTTGGGGGTACAGGTTGGGCAGTGGCTCAAGCCTGTAACCCTAACTCCCCGGGAGGCAGAGGTAAGGAGGATGGGGCAGCACCGGAGAGTGGGGGAAGTTCATGCAACCCCACCTCAACCAGTGCTGAGCACGGAAGGTGAGTGCCCGTCATCTCAGCTGTGCCGGATTTAGGATGGCCTGGACATAAAGCAAGAACCCCTGCCTCAAAAATAACCACCATAAAAATAACCACTGGTGAGGTGGCTCAAGTGGTGGTGAACAGTGAGCACAGCTGCCTAGCAACGTCCCTGAGGTCAACATCCAGTATGTCAGTTGTGATTGATCGACTGCCAGTGTAGAGTAGGCAATTTAATTTCTTCCTTTCTTTCCGATTTCCCCTATTTTAAAAAAGCATATCTTATGATCATTTTCAATTTAAGTCATTTATTGAGGCATGGGAAAGTTCTGTTCTGTCTCATCACCTCCAAATTAAATTCAGCATTCAGCATTTGTGAGAAAAAGAAATCTCCTCTAAAATTCTGTGACACCTTTCTAGACATTTAATGTGAAATCATTTTGTGAAGCATCATGTCAAAATAAAAGCAGTCTGACACTTGGCACAATGGCAAAGCAGACTTTATTTAGGGCTACCTCAATGGGTGCAAGAATTACTGGAGTGGGGTTTTGCAGTAGAAGAGAGAGAGAGTCAAGTTATAAATACAACAAGAAAAAGTGAGATTTATAGCCAAGGAGGTGGTGGGGAGTGGTCAGTAGATGGAAAATTACTAAGAGGGTAGGTCATTCTTACTTCCTGACCTGACAGGAGTCTTGGCAAAGACAGGTCAGGCTAATCAGACACCACCTTGAGGATGACAATTAGATATTGACAGTGGAGGATTCTGGGTAAGCCAGACTTGACAGGAGTTTTGCTAAATTGAGCAAGGCAAAGACCAAAGGTTGGGGCTAGCTGAGCAGAGGGCCTAAGAATGCTGACTAAAGTGTGATCAAGGGGTGAGAATTTGCCAATGGTGTCAAAGTCCATTTTTTTGAAAAAAAATTTTTATGAAGATTCTTAAAATAGAAGAAACAAAATAGAAAAAAGTACATAAATATAAGGGGAAGTGGTCATTCTGGTGAGGAACTAAATGTACTTGAGTAAAATCAAAGGGGAGTGGTGGTGAGGATTGAGAGAAGAAAGAATTAAGCAGTTGTCATGCCTTACCTGCCAGGAAGAATAACTAGGAGGTTAGACGGTGAGGTGGCACGTACTGGTTCATCTCACTGATGTAAGTGGGGGAGAGATGGACGAATGGTCTTGCTGGGAAAAGTGTCATGTTTTCATGCAATGTAAAAGACTGCTTTTGTTTGTGGGTCTAGAAATGAGACTTTCAAACAAAAGGGAAATGTAGAATGAGAAGGAAACCCAATGAACCACCAAAACAAAGGAAAATGATGAAATAACCTTGTCAAATAAATAGTGTAAGATCAAAAGAAGTCAAATGTAGATATTTTTATGCTAAATGTGAATAAACCAACCTATTAAGTTTAAAAATAGTTAAACACACCTACAATGATGAAAAAGAGGAGCTGTGCCAAGAAGTAGCAAGGAACAGCTAATACAAGTAAGAATGCAATGGAGCTGGGTGGCAGTGGCTCACGCCTGTAATCCATGCTACTTGGGAGGCTGAGATTGGGAGAACCAAGGTTCAAGGCCAGCCTGGGCAAATCATTCATGGAACCTTATCTCCAAAATAACCAGAGCAAAATGTATGGGAGGTGTGGATCAAACAGTAGAGCTCCCGCTTTGCAAGTGGGAAGCCCTGAATTCAAGTTCTAGTCCCCTGGCCACCCAAAAAGAATGCAATATTACTATCAGAGAAAATAGAATTCAAGATTAGAAGAACTGAGTAAGCTGAGCAGGAGCATTATCTGGTGAGAAAGGTACAATTTATTTAGAGAATATAAAAGTCATTAATACATCAGAAAAACAGCAGTTGAATAAAATAAGCAAAAACAACTAAATAGAACTCCAGCGCTCTGCTCTCACCCCCACAAGTCACTTTGAAATAGAAATAAGGACACCCTTAGGCACAAGAGATGTCAGGTAATCACACCGTTACCTCATAAAACTGTTACCCACTAAGAGTGTCCCCCTCCCTTGTCACGTGGAATGTGCCTGTCCTGTTCCCTGATCACAGGAGACAAAAACCCATCAGCTGTGGTGTAATGTCAGGAAGTCTCCCAGGACAAACTGGCCACAGCTCTTTAGCTCACATGGAAAAATCTTCTGAGCCATGAGCAAGAGAGGTTTTTTTCCCCTGGTAGTACTAGGGTTTGAACACAGGGCCTCATGCTTGCTAGGCAAGCATTCTACAACGTGAACCAGAGATTTCTTTTAAAAGAAATCTTCATGACTAACAAAAATTGCCAGACCCCAACAACTGGGCCAGACATCCTGAATCTCCTGCCATCCATGTGGCCCCATTTCCTCCATCCTCCCCCTTTTCCTTTCAATTAAAACTGCCTGATTGTTTTATTTCACTGATAGCTGAGATGAGACCAATGTTCCCTGTGACTGATATGATATCAACTTCACTATAATTCCTTGGTGTATTGACTGAGACCCATTAAAAATCAACTCTTGGATTTATCAATTCTATTGGCATGTTTTTCAGAGGTACTGGGGTTTGAACTCAGGGCTTCATGCTTGCTAGGCAGGCGCTCTACCATTTGAGCCACTCCTCCAGCCCTTTTTTGTGTTGGGCATTTTCATATTTTTGAGATAGCGTCTCTCCATCTAGTTGCCTAGGCTGGCTTTGGACTTGATCCTCTGCCTTCTAAGTAGTAAGGATTATAGGTGTGAACCACCAGCTCCTGACTGATCTAGTTTTTAGCGTATCTGTATTACAACAATGTATAATTTTATTAGTGAAACTCTAGTTGAGTTCAGGATTTTCGTATTTGCATTTTTTGGTGTATGGGATATTGAATTCAGGGCTTTGTGCTTGCTAGGCCTGCTGTCTACCTTTTCAGACATGCCTCCAGCCCAGGACTGTCTTTCATTTTTTGGTGGTACTAGGGTTTGAACTCAGGGCCTCACACTTGGTAGGCAGGTGCTCTACCACTTGAGCCACCCCCTCCCGCTACTGAGTCCCATTAAAAGTGTCTTAATGATCTGGTTTTTAAAAATTAAATTAATTAAGATGTTGTTTTTTGTGTATATGGTACTGGGGTTTGACTTCAGGGTTTTTACTTTGAGCCACTCCACCAACCCTTTTTTTTTTGTAATGGGTTTTTTGGAGATAGGGTCTCAGGAACTATTTGCTGGGGGCTGGCTTCAAACCCTGATCCTCCTGATCTCTGCCTCCTGAGTAGCTAGGATTACAAACACGAGCCACCAGTGCCCCATTGAGAAGAGGCGCCCCATTGTGCTGTTGTTAATGGAGTCATCTTTTTTGCATTTGAAGGCACTAGGGCCATGAAGTCTTGGCCTCTGTTTTCCTGATTTAGGGAAGGGGGAAGGGGTGGAATGGAACTAGAGGGGCTGCGGGGTGATCCCAGGTCCCTGCCCCTGCACCCTAAGGCTTGTCCCCTTCCTTCTTGTGCCCGCAGAGCCGCTGGACGCAGCTGTGGACCCGGACACGCGGCGCGCGGCCGCGCGTGGCTTCACAGGCTGCCTGTCGTCCGTGCGCCTAGGGCACGCGGCCCCGCTGAAGGCCGTGCTGCGCCCAGGCGGACCCGCCCTCGTCACCCTCCAAGGCCACGTGGTCCCCGCGGCCCGCTGTGAGGCGGGGACCCTGCCCCGCCCAGGCACGCGCGAAGTGGCGCCCCGGCTCGCGGGGGGCGCAGGTGCGTAGACACCGCTCACCCGACCCCGCGTGCCCTGGTCGCTCGGGTCCTTGTGCTCACCAGCCCTCTTCTGCCCTGTGTCGCCCTCCCTTTTCCTGCTCTAGGTCACTCGGGGCCATCGGAACGGGAACAGCCCTTCCTAAATGCAGACAGAAGCGACTCTGGGGTCATCGGAGGTAACAGGGCCCAGACTGGTCCAGTCCTTTGGCATTGCTGTCCGGTGGCAATGACTTATGTAATGGAACAATGTGCCCAAAGTCAACACTCCAGCGCGAGGTGAAAGGGATGGATGCGCTATGTATGACATCTGTGCAATCTCAGCTTCCCTAGTGTGGGAATTCCCACTGAAACACAGTGACAAAAGAACAGCTTCATTTGCGAAGTAGCTGTCTTCCTCAGGATGTCCCGACCATTGCTTTGTAATTATGCTGAAAGCAATGCAAAACTCACCTTTATGACACTTTTAACAGTGGCAATTTCTATTGTGGAGATGCGTCCTGTGACAATATTTCACTTAAAAGATTTAAAGTGCATTACTTTTAAATGCACAGCTCCGAGTCACTCTGTGCAAATGCACAGCAATAGCCACTGTGCATTTCACTTGAAATTTTTCCCCTCCAAAGTGACAGAAAACCCTTCATTATAAAATTCTCAGTAAATTTCTTTCTGAGCATATTAACATTCTACCACTAGCTCAATTTTTTTCTCTTCGAAATCAGTAAAATGCAAAATAAAAATGCATGACCCAATGATGAACAGAACTTTTTAAACTTTTCTGTGGGAATATGGTCAACACTTTTGTGTTAAATTTTAAGCCAAATCTAATGCTTAATAAATCCTGATTTTTTGGGAACATTTTTATGACAATGCAAAAGCAGTTTCAATGTGCTCATGTTTTCAGAATAGCTTCCAAGTCTTGCCAGTGTTTGCACAATGTCAGAGTGACTGCCTGGCCTTCCTGTCTTTGGAATTTCATTGCTTTTGGTCAAGTGTCACTGGCAAGACTTTTGAAATGCAAAGGTTTTTGCTGTTAAATAGTAGGTCCCAGAAGCATTCTACAACCCTGAGCCAGTCTCATCTGGTCCCTGAAGGAGGTGAGGGAATGAATCCTGTGTGGAAGGCAGAAAGGGTGGGTTTCCTTCCCTAGCAGTCACCTGCCAGAGATACAAATTCATGCCTTTGTGAACTATCGTGAACTTCCTGTGTGGACAGCAAAAGCTGTCCTTACACATATTCATCAGCTTTTGCATAGATGTGACTGCTCATTCTTGGCTAATAGAACTACTGTAACAGTTCTGTGGCCTGGCCTTGTGTCTTAGCCTTGTGTCTGTGAACTAAAACCTAAAATACTGGGAAGTTTTGGGGAGGGTCTCTACGGAGACTCTGGGGAGACCCTGGCAGCCTCTCCGTTGTCCTTATTTACTAATTTAGAGCGTAACAAGGTTGAGGTCACTGCCAGGATCCAGTATATTAAACATTTACACCTGGCTCTTTCAAATGATCCACATTTGACATAAAATAAACTTCATAAATACCCCTGTAATATTTTTGGTAATAAGGTTTGATTACATGTGTTATACTAGTGCATTTTGAAAGTATATTATCATAAAAATATTTAAAACAATTTCATTAAAATGTACCCATTTAATTATATTAACAGTAATTACTGGATACTTTTAAAATAATGTAAAACTTTCCACCTGTTAACTGTCTTAGAGACTTGTATATGTTTGTACTTTCAAATCTAGAAACACTCACTGAAACCCAACTATCTAGAAAACAGGCCTGTTTCCAAAATGTGATACAACCATGTATTGTAAACCACGTGGCCTTAAAAATTCCTGAGTTTCTTTAGTAGCTCCAATTTAGAATATAGTAGGTGGTTGGCTTATTCTAACTAACTTATTAAACTGGTGTGAGCAGAGGCCCCTGAGGGCTTTACATTCTGACTTTGTGTTTCTCTGTCTTTGCTGCAGGTGTGATAGCAGTTGTAGGATTTATTTTGCTCTGCACTTCTGCCATAGCCATACACATTTACCAACAGAAAAAGTCACCCAAAGAAAATGAGTCAAAGGTCTCCAAAGAAGAAGAGGGCTAGGACTCCTGGAAAGTGAACTCAGTGTGGACACAGTCAGTGAGAGTCAGAAAGAATGTGTCCATGGTTGGCCACTGTGTCTGATCCGCCTCTGTGTCTGTCCTGTTGCCAGTGCTGTCAACTGCTCCTGACATACAGCCTGGGGCTCTAGGAGGCCCTTCACACCTTGCAAGTGACCCCAGTCCACTATCATTTACTTGTAACAGTGAGTTAGGGGTGGTCATTAGTCAACATTGGAATTCTCTTTTCCAAAACAGAGATTTAATTTGTGTAATAGTTGTGAATTTTAGCTGAGAAAACAAATAGCCATGAAGATTTGGGCCTGCCTGATAAAGGGGACAGGACTTTCGTGCAGGTGTGAAAGACAAAATCCAACTCTAGGGGTTTTCCTTACTTGGGAGCTTACCTGGGGTCCCTTTATTGTTCGCTGCTGGCATTTGGAACACAAGAAATGCTTTTTTTTTTTTTTTTTTTAAGAAGTGCTTTCTAGGTCAAGCTCACCTGCATTCCCATAATCCTGGAATCCAGACCCAAGTGACCTACCAAAAAATTAATTGTGCTTTTGCTTTCCCTGTTTGGTAATGGAGACAATGCATTGGGTTGGGAGTATTATTATTTTGGATGTATTGTTTTTTCTAACTGACTGTTTTTAATCATTTTGATAAATTTTAGCGTTAAATCAATATTGAATGTGTTAAAATTTTTAATATTGAATTTTGTAATGGAACATAACAGTGGTAGAAAACAAAGTGCAGAGAGGATATCATCTAAGAGAGTTTGCCTATTTTCCTTTGTAAATTGTAAGTATAGGTTTTGTAAGTTGTGATTATGTTTTTAACTAAATTTACAATGAGATATAAACACTGCTTCTTCTACTGAGTTATCCTTTATTTATAGCAATAATACTTGAGCAAAAATATAATTCTCAACTTATTTACCACAAAGATTGAGAGATGATGTCAATTTTTCTTTATCATTCTGTATCTTTTTTCTAAAGGTTGTTACTGACATACTTTTTAATTTATTAAGAAAATCACCTTAAAGAAGAGCTGCAATTCCTTTTCCAAATTTTGAATTGCTGTAGGCATAAATATTGTACATTATTCTCTAATTGCTCTTTGACTATAAACTCACTCCAAGGAAAGGCAGCATTTATGTGATCTGTATTACATCTGCCATTCTAATCACAGGTTTATGATCACGGGGCCAAATCCTCACAGATTACCCCAAATTTAATATATGCAATTAACTAGAACATAGTTCATTAAGGTTTATGGACACAGGAAGATGGCAGAGGAGTGAAATTAATCCTAGGTAGACAGTTCTAGGAAGAATGAGAGGGTGGTTATTTGGTAATTGCATGGAACAGCCATTGGTTTAGATAAACCAATCGCACAAGAACAATTGTGTGACACTCTCCAGATCCCAGATCCCAGCTGCCTGCCAAGAACTAATTAGGTCGCACAGTTTATCCACACCAGGGCAAATTGGAAATACACCAATTGAGCACTGCTATTATAATAATTGACTTTTCACCTTATTTGTGTTATTTTTGAAAGAATGAATATTGTGCCTGTTTCTTAAGTCTGCTCCTAGAGAGTGATCTCAGAAATATTCTCAGAACACTTCATCTGGATGATGTCTAAGTGGATGGTGAAGGATTTTTACTTCTGCATTGCTCTCTTAATGCAGTAATACATGATGGACACCCCTTCATGGATAACAGATGATCTGAGTTTCTCCTTTTTCACAAAAGAGCTGTTTAGGATGGGGCAGGATTCAACAAAGATATAGTACATGTACTGTGTAGTCAGTGTAGACATCATGTCATCACTAAAACTTAGAGACTTATTTTATTCCATAGAAGGTAGCTGGAATTTTCTAGAAGAGGATAAACACCACAGCCTGTTGCTCTACGTGTCTTGTAAGAGAAGCTGAAAAATGAAACTGGATCAAACATCACCCACCATCAGTTTCTGTGCTGACATTTATACTTTATCTTTTTATTTGAAAATCAATTTTGCTTTGGAATATGGCAAGCAAATTATTTTAAAGAAAGATGTATGAAATTTAAATTATGAAATTTGTGTGTTTTTTCCTAGTTTCTACAAAATGTGCAGATAAATGCATTCTGTACTGGTTTGTGCATTTATTTATATTCCTTGTGTATTTTCAGATTATTATGCTGCTTCTCTTTATGATCTGATATTTATCATCTGGTAAAATTTTCTTTCTAAATTATTAAAGGAAAGATGAAAAAAATAAATCTTTACTAATTGCTAGAAGTAAAAATATGGATGAATGTATATAATTAAACTTTGGTCATAGGGCAAGCATTTAATGGTCAACTGATTTAAAGTCTATATTAAGACTTTTCTTTGATGTGGCAGAGAAATCAGTCATTAAACATTCTTTGGATCATAGACAGTGGTTGCAAATAGCACCCTTCTATGATATACAATTAGAAGTATAATGATTTCTCAAATAAAAAAAGAAAATATTCTTCATTTGAGAAGATTTTTGACTGTTAAAAACTACAAAATTCTAATATTAAAAATAGAGTATTTAATATGACACTAAAGACTTATCGCTGACATAGGTGAATGGGATTATCATGATATTGTGGCCCACATTTACCTCAGGAAGTCGCTCTAATTCTTCATTATTTCCTAAGACTCATCACTGAAACATAAACTTGACCTACTATGATTGGAGTTAACATTAACTGATGGCCTGTTCCAGCCATGTCTCCATCACTATGAAGAGTCACAGGGCAGTCAACGTGTTTTTCTTAAGACCCTCATAGTCATGGAGATGGGGTAGAAAAAGCCACGCAGTGAGATTGTTTTTAACTTGCTTTCTCAGTTTTATAGGTGAGGAAGCAAAAACAAAGGAAGAAAGACTTATTTCTCCAAGGGACAATACTTACTTGGACTAAACTCCTGGCACTTTGCAGTCCACTATGACTGTGGAGGCCTCTCGACTACCCAGTGTTATTTAGCAGAGCGGAAGAACATGCTAGGTCTCCTGATACCCAGCTTCACTTGGCCAGTAGTTTGGGGTCTGTGTTCACTCCTTTGTGAAAAAGCACTTGATGGAGAAATGGGCTGTGATAGCTCGTTAATAAAATGCTACTTCATCTTGCAGACCTGGAAGGCAAGCAGCTGCACCTTTTGTTTAGGTTATTCTGGAATCTACCATGTAACCGACACAAATAGATGATTAAAATATTCTTGAAATTGGAGAAGGACCAAATGGACACGTTTTTCTAGCTTTACAATTATTTTTAGTATTTTCAGTCTAACATGCTCATGTTAGGGGATCTGGCATTTCAGTAACAGCTTGGCACTTAGTTAAAGAGAACATAATGTTTGATCCAGGGGCAGGCCATTCTGAACTGAGAGTAAGGAGCTTCCTACCATGGGAAGCATGGTAATCCTAGCTGCCTTCCTTCCATCCATGCTGTTCTAAAAGCTGCATGTCCTTTGACTTATGACCTCTCAGCACCATGATGAGAGAGGCATTGTGTCAACTCCTACTGTGTTTCTATTACAACTGTTCTTGTCATATGGTTATACTCTTGTTATATTGACACATTGTACTTGAATATATTTATGGGGTACATAGTGATGTTATAATTTTGTAATATAACGTGGAAGGAAAGTCTGTCATTCACGACATGGATAGAATTTAGAGAACATTATGCTAAGTGAAGAAAGTGAACACAGACAGACAGCACTGCACTTCTCACTTAATTGTGAAACAGTCGAGCTCACAAACAGAGAGGAGAGTGGTGGCCAGAAGCTGGGATGGGAGAAATAAAGGGGTGTGAGGAACAGTACAAAGCCTCTGTTGGATGGGATAGGAAGAAGAAGGTGCCTCTCCCTCCCTGCCTCCATCCCCTCCTTCCTCTCTCTCTCTCTCTCTCCTCCTCCTCCTTCCTCCTCCTTCTCCTTCCTCCTTCTCCTCCTCCATCCTCCTCCTCCTCCTCCTCCTTCTCTCTCTCTTTCTCTCTCTGACTGAACCTTCCCACTTTACTAGAAGATGAAGCCCAAATGTTCTTGCAAAAAAATGTTCAATATTTGAGATGATGAGTTTGCTGGTTGGCTTGGCTTCACACATTTTAAATCAAAACATGATTAGTTGGTGGTCTAACCTACTATCTCATTGGACAACTGGGTGGGATGGAAGTTTTCTTAAACACTGTTTGAGCACTTTATGTCACATGGTAAAACCACATTAACAGAGCTCTGTAGACTGCAGAATATATGATAAATACCTGCAACTCACTCTTAAGACTGATGACCTTTTTATCAATGCAGCACTGTACTTCATAGAGAATCAGATTCAGTGCTATTTGCAATATTCCAGATTAACACCAAGCCTCAGTTTTGAAATGAAATGAAATGTATGTAAATGAAGGCACACAGAATCCTTGAAATATAGCTGTTAATTTGAGTTTTCTGTTGTTGTTCCATATTGTTCTATTGATCCATAGTCTCTGGATGTAACCCAAGCTAGCCTCAAACTTCCATCCTCTTGCCTTAGCCTCTAAGTGCTGGGATTACAGGTGTGATCCCTAGACCAGCTAAGTTGAGTTATCTATTGTTCATAGTTATTTTAAAGAAGAGATAGAATTAATAATTCATCAACTAAGAGTGAAAGCTGCTTTAAATTTCTGTAACACCAAAGTAAAAGTTTCTGATTTTCCAACTTTGACCAGATTGCCTTCAAATGTCACTCATTATAAGGATAGAGACTGGATTTTATTTTCCTTAAATATCCAATATCTGGACAGTGAAATACCACATTAATATAACATTGGGTAAATGAATAAATGCATGCATTAATGAAATGACATATTGCCTAATTTTTGCAAATAACTAAGAATGTGACTAAAAGAGGAGGAAATCTACCCTTTGGGACAAATATAACTGGAGATAATCTTTTTAGGATATGATAATTATAAAATTCCAGGGACTCTTAAATCATTTACATGTATAAAGTCACTAGATCCTCAAGCAAGTCAGTGAGGCGAGTTACTAATATTGTTTCCATTTTTTATGAGCATACTGAAGCAGAGTTAATTTAAGTAACTGGCCTGGGGTCATTCCCTTAAGGTGGGCTTTGA